ATAATTCTCATTCATCAAGGAATAACAAGTGTAATATCCACTAAAGCAAAGCTTAAGTATATAACACCAACAGTAGGAACATAGCTATCATCAAGAAGGCCAGAGTTAGAGCTTGGAACCTTAAGATCAAAGGAACTATCAAACATTTCATCTGGAAGTGCATTGAAGGCTCTTTGCCTGTTAAAACTAATCTTGCCAATAGAGGGGTTCCTATTGATGTCATTTGCCAAAGTTGTGGGGAATTGCCTGAGTCCATTGAGCACACTCTTTTCCACTGTCCTAGAGCCAAACTGATGTGGAAGCTAAGTCCCGTGCAATGGGAGGGGGTTAATTCAGAATGCTGTAACTTCAAATCTTGGTGGTGCAATCTTTGCTCTTTAAACAAGACTCCTGCTGCTGAAGCTAAAATCCAGCTCACAACTTACCTTCTTTGGTGGTTGTGGAAATCAAGGAATTTATGGCTTTTTGAGAACATTCTTCTGCCTATCAAGCTGGTGATTTCTAAAGCCCATCAAGCTTGGTTGGAGTTTAGCAGTCTGTAGTTATTGTTTTCTGGGGTTTTTGGTTGCTGTTTTCCTGTTTTTTGTGTGTTGCTTTGTTTAGTCTGCTTTGTTTAGTTTGATGTGTTTGGTTTGGTGTGTTTGTTGGGGAGATTGATATTGGGCTAGGCATACGCAGTGGTCCGTTTATTATTCTCCTTTTCTTTGGTTTGAGTTTGGTTCTAGGCCGCATTATTGCGAGTCCTCTCATTTTTCTTTTCTGGGTGTCTATTTGGCTACTGACCATGGTCTGTATTCGAACTTTGTTCCCCTTGGTTCTTATATATATTGCTTCTATCGTTCCGAAAAAAAAATCCCTAAGAATAGGAACATTCATTCTAGAATATTAGCCTAAGGTTAGGAGATTTTGGAATCCTCTAGAAGGGTAATTAGGGTTAGAAGGAATAAGGCTTCTAGAAGGGATAGGATATGGATGATGATTAGGTTTCCAAAACCTAATAGGATAATCCCATACTTAACACATCCTTAAGGTCCCTAATGCAACCTATAAATACACTATGTCTCTACCTCTTGCCCTACACACGTGAGATTCGACTTTAAGGTCTTCCAAAGAGAGAAAAATCGAGCATCATAGTATATTGAGAGTTCAAGAAATCTGGAAAATTGCCCACCGAAATTTTTCGAAATAGGTCTTTAGGTAATACATCGGAAGACTTTTGGGTAATATTTATTCGAGCCTTTTATACATAAATTATCGGGCGATCAGAGCCACCGCCATAGCCGCTGGAGCCGTCGTGAACCATCGTCGACTGCCGCTGCCGCGCGCAGCCGCAAGCAGTCGTGAACAACAGGCCGCAACTACAAGCTGCCCAGTCGCAACAGCATACACCTTGCAACGATCATGTAAGCATCCAGCAACGCTCGCCTGCACCCCGCAAGATGTCGTCCGTGTAATTCGAGCGCTCCGCTCCTCTGCCGCGTGACGCCCCAGTGCCCAAAGTCCTCGCATAAATAAGAATCTTACAGCACGTGCCCGATGCTCCCGGTAGGCTCCCGTGCACGATAGCGAGCAGAAAACCGCGCACCCGTTAGCCAGAAAGTGCGACGTAGACGACGTCGTACGCGCAGAACCTGACGTGCCCAGTTCACGAAGACACGACCTGTAGGCGCACGAGGCCAGCACCTGCACCCGACATGCAGCATCCACAAGCTTTGACCCGCAACAGCCCAGCTGACGTCCGACTAGCTCGAGCCCGACGCGCCTAGAACCCCTGCGAGAGCCATTCGTGTGCCGACGACCTGATTCAACCGAGGAGGCCAAGTCCGACTGCCCAACTTACTCCGCGGTTCAGACGATCTACTACAGAGGAAATCAGAAACGTCTCAAAGTTGACAAAAATTCTGAACTGTAATGTCCTAATCCTAACTATAGATTCCGCTACGTTAGGATTTATTTCTATAGATTTGAATGTGCACATCGTTGACGTTTCTAATAGAACCCAACAGATGGAACCTCGACCTGTAAAAGGTCTGGTTGAATCATCGACCTCTGTACTTAGAGGGTGAGCTATGCGGAGAAAATGTTATACCTTGTGACGTGGAGCCAGTCTCATGGTTAAACCGTCTGATAAATAAGATAGGAGAACAAGTGCCACAACAAGATTGGACTGTCTGACTACTTGACAAGTTTGGCGCCTAGGTCAGTACAAGTCGTACGAACGGATAACCTTGGCAGCTAGGTCAACTCTTCGGCCAGACTTGGGGGTGAGATATGTCCATCCACATTCTACACACTATTACATGATACTTACAAGCTATATCACCTTTGTTTATCATCTTCCTCGGTCACATACTGATCACTTGATTGTCAGACTCTCTACACCAGGACACCCCGACGTTATTTTGCAGGTCTACCGAATCGGTGGATAGCAGATCCTGGTCGTTCGAATCCGATCGATTTTGGTTTAAGCACCAAAAGGCAAGATACAACTATTTTTAACAAAAAGGTTTCATTAATTTTTGCATTTAGAATAAATCTGAAGTCAAAATCTAACATAAAAATCAGAATAAGAACAATAAGGCACACGATAAACTTGGTACTTAACTGTTGTTTTCAGTTCATTCATATTTATCAAATCAGAATAAGAACAATTAGGCACACGATAAACTTGGTACTTAACTATTGTTTTCAGTCCATTCATATTTATCAAAACGATAAGCATGGTTGGATATAAAAAGTTTTTGTTTTGATTGGATTTTTGGTTTGTGTTGGTTAAATTTGAAAAAGTTGGTATGATTAGTTGTTAGTGGATATACTAAAATAATATTTGAAATAATTAAGTAAAGTTTTTTTTTTTTTCAGTACAAAAATTGATTAAAGTTAAATTGATGTAAAAGTATGAGAGAAAGATGTGATGTGATGATTAGTTAAAATTATGTGAGTAGATGAATAGTGAATTAAGGTTGATGTTGTGTGTAAGAATGATTGATTGATATTAATTAATTATTTTGATAATATTAATGATAGTGAGGTTGAGTTAAAGTTGAAATAAAAAAAATCCTCCCTGTATATAATTCCAAAATGCGCTGAGCCTACGTGGCTGCTTCTGGTGCTTCGGATCCTATTTGGCGAAGAATCATGCTTCGTAATTAGGTTTGAACAGATAATATTAATATATTAATAATTAATAATCTAGGTTCGGGTATTCCATAAATACTATTTAGCTAACTTAGGTATTTTAATATCACTTTTACTAATATAACCCTTTAATTCTTTGTAATTTTACATAATGAGGCACTAAGTGACTAATATATCCCTAAATTTTGATTTGCTTCCTTCAATAAGCTATTGAAATATAAATGTATTTTAAAAGTAGATAACTTTTGTATTTCTTATCGGTTTTACATATATAATATATCAAATTAATCATCTTTTGATGATCTTCAATTTGACATCCATATTGTATATATAAAATAAATAAATTATATTTATCTTTATAATAATAAAAAATAATAATATTTATTAAAATTCATTAGAAAAATAAAATTATTTCTCAATTGATATAATTCCAGAATGCGTTGAGCCTACGTGGCTGCTTCTGGTGCTTCGGAATCCTATTTGGCGAAGAATCATGTTTCGTAATTAGGTTTGGACAAATAATATTAATATATTAATAATTAATCACTTTTACTAATATAACCCTTTAATTCTTTGTAATTTTACATAATGAGGCACTAAGTGAGTAATATATCCCTAAATTTTGATTTGCTTCCTTCAATAAGCTATTGAAATATAAATGTATTTTAAAAGTAGATA